AACAAAGACATACTGGCTACAGTCGATATCAGGGCTGACCGACATCCCGATGGACACGCCGCATTTTCGAGGAAGGCTGGAGGCGGCGTCCGACCGAACGTTGTAGCTGGAGGCAGCGGACTTGATGCAGCTGCACGCAGTCTGCCTGTCCTGTCGGGACTCGAGATTCCCCACGAGGCTCCTCACGCCTCCGCAGCACGAGCTCGTGGGCTCCGTTCCTCCACTGCCGGTCAGGTAGGCCAAGCAGAGAGAGAGGGAGCCTTGAACATCGCCGCACGAGATGGCCTCGCCTGGCGACGGCCCGAGTAGGGCCGCTGCTAGGGCCAACACCACAAGCATTGCAACATTAACTCCCTTCATGTCTTGGTGTGAGTTGAAAAATTTGTGTGTGTGTGTGTGTGTTTGAGTGAAAGGGTATTATTGCATGTATTTATAGTTGAGAAAAGTGAGATTTAATTGTATGAGCGAAATTGTTAACTAGAGAATGAGGTCACGAGTGGTTGAGGGATTTTGGCTTTGAGTTAGATTTTCAATTCAAAGTCGTTTTGAGTCAGAAAAATGGTAGAAATTTTGGAGAAGTATGGAGAGGTGACTAGCTAATTAGATTGTGGTTAGGAGATGGACAATTGAATGATAAATGGACAATGTAGTCATGGGAAGGGTTTGTGGAAACTTGGACACGTGCCCTTTTGACTTTGTCTATCTTTTTTGTAGTCAAATCTTAGAGTTTTACTTCAAAGAAAAGAAAGTGAGATAGATAGATATAAGAAAGTGGTGAATACAGTGCGGTTGAATTAAACGAGTACGAGCTCGATTCGTTAAGACTCAATTTCGAGCTTTTAACGAATCAAGTTTGAGCTCATTTAAAATTCGTTTGATAGCTCGGTTCAGAAAGATTTATTAAGACTCGAAAATAAAATTTTTATATATTTTTTTATAATTCGACTCGTTGAAGCTCGAAGTTTAGTCGTTAATAGTGATTAATGAGCTGAGATCGAACTCGCTTTATGACTTGTTTATTTAACGAGCCAAGCCGACTTGAGCTCGAGCTCGACTCGACTCGTTTTCAGGCCTAGTGATTATATATGATTTCAAATTTGGGCTAGCTCATCTAGTTCTAGTGGAGCGTAGGAAGCATGATGGGCCCGTGTAATCATGGGTACACACCAATGTCCAAGCAGCCCAATAAATTTGACATTTCTAATTGGGTTATTCACATGGTCCGACTCACCAAAGTGTACCTAAAATCGTTGTCATATACATTGGCGACTTTATCTCTAATATTCAAAGGCAGAGCCCATCGAAGTTGTTGTTTTTCTCTGCGACCACTCGCTCATCTTCATCCCATCTCCAACCATCCAACATTTTTTCTGTTGCAATTTTATTTGTTTTTTCATTTTTCTTTTTTTTTTTTTGCTTAAATTTAAAAACCCAAATGCTGGCAATAGTAACCTGCAGTAGCTCCATAGTTCCTCCTTCGAGACCTCACACCGCCGCCGCCACTTTCATCTCCGGCAAGCATCTGCCGTTTCTCGGTCGCCGCAAGCTCTGCTGCGACGTAGTTTCCCGTCTTCCGGCTCCTCCTCTCACCCCATGGTAAAAAGTTTCCGCCTTTAAGAAAAATTTCGCGCTCCTTTGCTGTAGTTTTCCGGATTTCTGAAAATTTGTGCTTTCTTTTTTTCATCTTTCAAGGGATAATGAGAAAGACGATGCCCATATCTTCCATGAACGAGATCTTGCGCAGGAAAAAGTCTCTTTCACCACTCGTCGGACGTTTTTTGCGCGTTTAGTAATGTGCACATGCTACTCTTATCTTCTTACTTCAAGGTACTCTCCAGGTTCGCACATTTTCAGGCTTTCTTTTGCTTTTGTTTTTATGTTTATGCATTATCTCAAGGCTCTAATTTATCTTCCTTTTTTTTGTTCATTTATTGTTTTCAATGAGGTGTGGTTGTATAGATTGATGATTTTATAGTGGTGAAGCTAAAAGTCTTCTGAATGTTGAAATGTAGGAGCTGAATTTTGATGAAGTTAAAGTGATTTGTCCATTAAGCTGTAAAAGTGCTTGTTAGGTCATTGTTAACCATGGCATATTTCAGCCTACTGCAGTCGCCAAATTTTTATCCGTGGGATCAGCACACACTCGTGTGGTTACGTGTGTGTATGTGTTGATCCAATGGTAAAAAACTAACCGTTAACCCACAATCACAATTAGAAATCAAAAACACCCATTACCCAAATTCATATCTTTTTGTTACATTAAGCAGAACAAGAAATATTGTCACTTGAGAACTCCAAAAGTATTCATTTTTCCTTAAATTGGGTAGTTGCAGACATTTCACTAATATTACTATAAGCAGAGTAGAAATCTTTTATACATAGTAATAATATAGATATGTGATTTCAGCTTATGCTTTAGGAGACCCATCAGTGACTGTTGAACAAGTCACACCTCCAGTTTTCTCTGCTGGGACACTTTTCCCATCCGAGGTTCGATTTCTCTGTCTGCAAATAATGTTCCAATTTCCATTTTCTCTTGTTTTTCCTCGTCATTCTAATTAGTCATTACTTATTTGCAATTGTTTTTTAAAACTTCCATGGCAGGTGTGAATTGATAATGTGTCCTACTTGACAGGAAAGAATTGTTGAACTGTTTGAGAAGAATACTTACTCGGTGGTCAACATATTCGATGTAACTTTGCGCCCCCAACTTAATATTTCAGGGTCTGTTGAGGTAATAATCAATGTATCTTCGTGCCGTTCGATTTTATGCTAAATCTTTATCAGTTACTTCTCCTTAAAAATGTATAAAGAAGAAATGGACTCCATTTTGTACAGGTGCCTGAAGGAAATGGTTCAGGAGTTGTCTGGGATGAACACGGTCATATTGTTACGAATTATCACGGTATGATTCCATTAATTTCAGTTTTGGTTTAGCATCTTTTGATTTCTTTTGCTCGAACAGAATCTTTCAGACTCGGTTGTAGTAATTTACATCTTTCGCTGTGTTTTTTTATTGTTTTAATAATTGAAAGTGGTTCTAAAATGTCGTTTAATGTCATTGAATTGCTTGATTCTATATTTTCTTGGCTAATCCTTTCATTGCTTGGTGTTTATTCGTTAATTGTCTCTTTTTACACTGACCAGTTATTGGAAATTCTCTATCAAGAAACCCAAGCACCGGCCAAGTTGTTGCTCGAATCAATATTCTAGCTTCTGAAGGGTAAAAGAGTCAGAATTTCTTTCTTCCCATAATGCAACCGACAAGTCATTTCACTCTGAGTAAATAAATCAGTGACTTTGTTGAACTTCTCATTCTTTTATGAAGCGTACAAAAGAACTTCGAGGGTAAATTAGTTGGTGCTGATCGGGCAAAGGATCTTGCTGTCTTGAAGGTTAATTTTTACTACCCGAGTTTTGTCTAAAAGTGAAAAATACAGTTTTTCCTTGTGGTGTTAGTTCTGTTTTACTTCTTTCAATGTTTCTCAATAGTTATTTAGATCAGTTTGACCTGAATAAACCTATTTTATACAAACTTTTTCGACCGATTTATCCCAATCATTCAAAAGATCGATTTTTGTAACCAATATTTATCAAAACCAGGTTGAAGCCTCTAAGGAACTATTGAGACCAATGAAGGTGGGCCCATCATATTCTCTAAAAGTTGGTCAGCAATGTTTGGCGATCGGAAATCCGTTCGGTTTTGATCACACACTTACTGTTGGGGTCATTAGCGGACTCAATCGAGACATTAACAGTCAAACGGGTGTTACTATTGGTGGAGGTATTCAAACTGATGCTGCCATAAACCCTGGAAATAGGTTCATTTCCAGCATTATAAATCTTACCGATTTAAATATATCGTTTTTTTTCTCGTTGACCCCGGCATTCAAAATCTCCTACTTTAGGCTCATTTCCAGCATCATTTTTTCTTTTTTCCTGATGTGGTACAGTGGTGGTCCTTTATTGGATTCGAAGGGAAACTTAATCGGCATTAACACTGCGATATTTACACAGACAGGTGAGTTTCTTGCATTATTTGAGTTTTATCTGAAAATAAAATTCTATTATGATTGCTTTTTTTCATGACTAAATTAAGATGTACGATAGGGACTTCGGCTGGCGTGGGGTTTGCAATTCCTTCATCGACAGTAGTAAAAATCGTGCCACAGCTAATCCAGTTCGGCAAAGTAAGTTTTTTCGGTTTAAAAAATGCCCGGTTTTGCTCTTACATCAGATTAAGCTGTTTCGAAATTCTTTTTCGACATATTTTGGAAGCTGAGTTTTTTGTTTTTTACTGATTAAAAATTGCCAGGTTGTTCGAGCGGGATTAAATGTTGAAATCGCTCCCGATCTTATTGCAAGCCAACTCAATGTTCGAAACGGAGCTTTAATTTTGCTGGTAATCAATCATAAGACCATGTGCTGATTTTCGAACTTCTGAATAATTTCAAAAGAAAAAAAAAACACGGATTTTTGCTATCTTTATAGGTTCCGGGAGATAGTTTAGCAGCTAAGGCAGGTCTTTTACCAACTACAAGAGGCTTTGCGGGTAATATTCTGCTCGGGGACATAATTTTGGCAGTGGATGATAGACCTGTAAGTAAGCACACTTCAAATCCTCTCACATTTTTTCCCAATAATCGAAAGTCCCAATATTCAAAAAAATCTGAATTTGGTCACAGATAAAGAGTAGAGCAGAATTGTACAAGACATTGGATGATTACAATGTTGGGGAAAAAGTGATTTTGAAGATTCAGAGAGGTACTGAAAATTTGGAGCTACCCATTGTTCTTGAGGAAAAAAAGGGATGAACTGTTGAAGAAGTTGGCCTTTGATTTTTCGATTTTCTTTCTTTTCTTTCTCGCTTCCTTTCGAAGTACAATGAAACAATTATATGTATGTATAAATTTGCTAATATTCTGCAATCAAATTCTCCAGTAGTCCGTAATTTTCTCCTCTATAGCCATTTACTTATAGTTAGCGCCATTCAACAAAAACGAGTCGATGCTCATCTCAAAAGAGCCAAACTCAAGCTCATTGAGGCTCGAGTTCAGTTTATTAATATTGATAAATGACTCGAGATTGAGCTTTTAAGTTAACAAGACGAGCTTAGCTCGGCTCAGTAAAGGCTTTGGCTCAAGTTCGAGTTCCGCTCGACTCATTTAAGGAAAACCCTCATTAACTTCAAGATAGGAGCTGTTAAACATGAGGAATAGGAGCTATTAAGTGAATGGAGTATGAAGCCCTTTTTCCTCAGATCCAATGACCCTTGACACTAAAAAACTTGATCAAAATGGGTCAAGAAATTTTTGAAGACAACTAACACCTCTTTATTTCCATGCACAACTTATTCTTAAATAAATTCTTCATGGCACTAAAAAGTTCTACAATTTCTTGAATTTAAATAGAGCTGTCAACAATTAGGGAGAAAGTGGTACTTTAATGTGTGTGTGTGTGTGTGTGTGTTTCCTCCTTGTGAAGAAGGTAATAATAATAAATAAGTTATGATAAGTCTTATTATCAGATATCTATGCTATCTATTTTCCTGTGTTAGCACTTAGCACAAAATTATTGTGGCCTTCACTGGTTTTTTCAAAATTTGTATTATTGGCTCAAGAATGTGATAAGAAATTATTATTTATTGTGTTATTTTCATCTATTGTTATCAGTATCATCACCTGGTTACATTGATGAATTTTTGTGTATCAGTATAGAATGAAGTTAAACTTTGGAACCGACAGAAACAATGGAGTTAAAGTTTCTTCGTCCCTTGTATCAACAAGTCAAGATGGCCGAGCGGTCTAAGGCGCCAGTTTCAGGTACTGGTCCGAAAGGGCGTGGGTTCAAATCCCACTCTTGACAAAACTTTTTTTTTTTTTTTCTCTTGGGTCTATGTAGAGGCTTGTAAATTTCCTTTTCATGCAAAAAACTATACGTATATTATATAAATATAGCTTTGGTTTTTGTTTATTTATGAAAAAGGCATATATGAATTACTTGTAAGAAAAAAAAAATATATATATATATATCACTATATGATGGATTATATTTTCACATCACAACTTACAAACATCTCTAAAGAGTATATTAACAAGACCAATATTCAAATTATATATTAAAAGTACATTAACACAAGACCAATATTTCAATTTATTTCAAATTATTGCCTTTGAAGATCGTATTGTTTGGCATTATACTAGTAATGGGGAGTACTGAGTGCGGAGTGGCTATCGTTTGTTGAAAAAATCTCACGAGGATTCGTCGGGATCAAGTTCTAATTTGAATATGCAATGGTGGAAAGCGTTGTGGAAGTTTCGTCTCTCTGCAAAAATTAAAAAAAAAAATTATCTGGAAATTGTCTCTCTCAGCGGTTCCATCGAGCGAAAATTTGACGCGGAGACACGTTTGTGTGGATAGTAGATGCCCCAGGTGCGGTGGTCGCGAAATCAACTATCACCTTTTCTTCGAATGTAACTGGGTGAAAAGGCTGTGGAAGTATGCTGGTTGGTGGGATGTTGTCCACGGCCTTTGGAGAGGAGATTTCATCCAGCTTTTTGTGGCCCTCTTGTCCGGGACCCAGGGTGGCGAACTCCACAGTTTTGTCATTGGGTTATGGCTCATTTGTTATGAACGAAATCGTTGTCGAAAGAGGCTCAAGGGTAGGGAGGCGGAACAAGTGTGGGAGTTCGGGTTGTCTTGGTTAAAAGAATTCGATAATGCTAGTTCGGGCTTCGCAACAAACTGGTTGGTTCCAACTTTTGACTCACACTCTTTGGAGGGGACCTGAGAAGTGCAATAATGGTTGGACTCTTATTTCTGATGCGGCGGTTCGGAGTTCAGAGATCGGACTAGGTGGTTGGATTCGGGACTCCACCGGAGTTTGTATAGTTGCTTTTGCCACCAGTTTGAGGGGTTCCTTTTCCTTTCTTTTGGCAGAAGCTTTAGCTATCAGATGTGGACTACGCATTGCATTGGACATGGGTTTCCATCTTCAGACGGTTTTAACAAATTCTATTGGCGTAATCAGCGGGATTTCCAACCAATATGAGCTCGATCCATTAATGGGATTGTTTCATGATATTAGAGCACTCTTCATTTCTCTTAATTGTGGCCGACGCAGTTATTTACCAAGAAAACAAAATGGGGTGGCTCACAACATAGTAGGGCTGTAAACGAGCCGAGCTCGAGCTCGAGCTTAAGGTGTTTGAGCTCGAGATCAAGATCTTAACGAGCTGAGCCGAGCTCAGCTCGTTAAGTAAACGAACTAAAAATCGAGCTCGAGCTCGGCTCGTTAAGGCCTCGAGCTCAACGAACCGATCTCGAGGTTTAACGAGCCGAACTATAAAAATTACATAATTTTCATTTTTCGAGCCTTAACGAGCCTTATCGAGCCGAGCCGAGCTCGGCTCGTTAACCAAACAAGCTTTAAATGAGCTCGGGCTCGGCTCGTTAAGGCTTCAAACTCGATCGAACTGAGCCTTAACGAGCCGAGCCGAGCCAGACTCGTTTAATCTAACAGCACTACAACATAGAGAAATGGGCTGTTGCTTCGCAATCATCCCATGTTTGAAGTGACACCTTCCTATTTTTTTTTTTGTCTTCTTTTTTTGATGTAGTACTTAACTTGTTTAATATTTGACTGTATTGATCTAGTTTATAAAACAAAACAAAAAAAAGTTGAAATTAAGGGCCTCGTTATTTGTCAAATTAAATTTTATCACCAACAGCTTTGCTAGCAAAATCTATAATTTAAAGATAAAATATACACTCACCAACCTACTCAAGAAACATGAGAAATTGGAAGTATACCATATATTCAAATATTCAATTAATCTTCTCATGTCAAGATAGAATTCAACAATTTTAGTTGAAATGTTACTAATACACTTGACGTTTCATCTGTAATCTCAAAACTCACCCTCAATTTTCATAATACAAAAGTAGCCACACTAATCAAACACCAATTTGAATTCAAATATTTCAGTTCAACTGTTGCTATCCACTTGAATTAATATCAAATATCAAATATCAAATATCAAATATCAAATGATAATATGATTTCAAAGGTCACATTTGACAAAAAA